CCTCTCTTTTCAGTTTTAAACTCTTGCAACCTCCTTTCGCGGATTAGCCTCTCGATTTCATCTTTTAGGTCAGCGTAGTCGTTGGTGATAAATGGAGGTTATCACTCTTAACGCCTGAAGGGTCAGCCTCCCAATTACGGCGTTATACTGTGAGCCCCCCTTTATCACCACAAAGTTTGCCATCGTGGTTGCCTGCTTAGGCTTTTCTCCCGTGGTGACGGGCAGCCAGATCGTGCCTTGGGGGATGACCGAGTCCCCTGTGAACCCGAATAATGACCGGGTTGTTTTCTCGAGTTGCTCCTTTGAAATTCCCATTTTTTCTAAGCAATCAAAGTATAGGATATCCACCGAACTTCCATTGTCTACAAGGATTCTGCACACTGTGTGGTTTCCAACCACTGCTTCTACTACCAAGGCGTCATTGTGGGGGAATGGACACCATTCGCATCTTCCTCTGTGAATGCCACGTCAGTATTACTAAATTTTGCTGCCTTGGCAGTGGAGAGAGTCCAAAACCTCTCCTGGTATACCCCCATCGCTTCGTGGGCATAACCTTTCCAGGATTTCCTGGAATCTCCCCCAAGATATGGCCCCTCATGGATGGTTCTTATGACGTCGACCGGTTCACGGTCTCCTCCCCGCCGATTATCCTCCCAACGCCGACCGTTATTTACTGGGCTTTGGCCTCTCTTTTTGGCTTTAAACTCTTACAACCTCCTTTCGCGGATTAGCCTCTCGATTTCATCTTTTAGGTCGGCGCAGTTGTTGGTGTTATGGCCGGCGTCGCCTACTTACTCTGATTCTTTCGATTTGGGTATGACTTCATCGGCTCTGGTCGGAAAAATAAGTTTCCTCGCCCGACCTGATTGAATACCTCTTCAACGCCTACAGTAAGCTCGTGATAGGAGTCATACCGTTGGAATGGCTGAGGCTTTCGATTTGCCTCTTGCCTCAGCTTCTTTGTTTCCTGAGGATTGGGCGCCAATGCGGTCTGTTTGTCTCCGTTTTCCCCGCCTCGTCATTTTTTACTATCTTGCTTCCCCGAGGTCAATCCTTATTTTGTTCCTTTACTTTTATTAGACTTGTGCTCGGGATCGTTTGCGTCGGCTTCCTCAGCGTTGATATACCCCTGTGCCCGTGCCAAAAATTCTTTGTAGGTGGCCGGTGGCTTTCGGTTTAGGTCGCACTTAAACGGTGTTGTCTTTTTCATACTGGACAGGGCCCCCATCAGTTGTAGTGGCGACGGCTTCCCCGTACCTTGCAAGCCATTCCTTTAATGACTCGTGTGGTTTTTGGTATACCATCGTCAGGTTTTGCTTCGGCGGGATATACTTCTTCACCCCGATGAACAGAAGGGAGAAGGCTTTCTTCAACTCTTCCCAGCTGGAGATGGACTCTGGTTTGAGTGTCCGGAACCATCTTCGGGTGGAATCCGTCAAGTGGCTCCAGAACACTTGACACATTATTTCCTCCGCGTATCCATGCAGAAGCATGTGCCCTGTGTACATTTTCAGGTGGTCATCGGGATCCCCTCTGTCGTCGTACGGTGGGATCGTCGGGGACCTGTATTTGTCAGGTGAAGGTGGCGCCATGATCTCTGCGGTAAAAGGGTGGTCGTGAGTTCAGCTGGGGGTGATGTCGACGTTGACCACTTCCGCCACCTATCCTAAGTTTTTTTGTAAGTGGCCCACCTGGCTTTTGACGTCTTTCTTTAAACCGGCGACGTCACCTGTGAACTTTTCTTCTAGGCTCGTCACACGCTCCATAATGGCTCTAGCCTTTTTCGTAGAGATATCAGAACTGGCCCCTTTCGAGGCTCCTGCCTTCTTTGTATTTAGCTTATCCCTCAGGTCTCCACCTTCTTGCACCGACCCTGAATCTCCTGGGATATTCTTTCCCAGGTTTCGAGGGGGTGCCTCGGGGTTCTCCAGGCCTTCGAGTGCTCTTCTCTCCCGAGTTCGTCGCCTGGCAGCCCTCTGTCGGCTACCAAGGGATTTGGACAGTCGAGGTCTCAAGTTATCTCCCCCGACATTTTCACTATCCCCGATCCCTTCCGGAGCACCTTGACGGTCACCAGTATTCTGGTTCCTAGCCATGGTAGCTCCTGGTGGTCTCGGGGCATCTTCCAAGGGAGGCATAGAGTTTCTCCCGTCTAACCGCTCGACAACGGTCGTCAGTACTCGAACCAAGTCAGTCAGAGTGTTCAGCTAGGCCTGCATCTGTACCGGATCAAGCTGCGGTGTGTCTGGGGGTGGAGCTCCATCCCTTACCGGGGGTTGAATCCCCTGGTTAGGCTGACTTCTCCCACCCCACTGTTGGTTGGATGCGTGGTATTTTCCTCCGTTTGGTTGTTTTGATTTATATTGTCATTTCTTCTTCTCGGAGGCATGATTGTTGATTGTCCGAGGTCAAACGCGTGAACCAGAGATTCTGGGTTCGCTCCCCAGCGGAGTCGCCAATTTTTGACGGTCGAATTTCATCAACAAGACATTACCGGATTACCCCGCGGTAGCCCGTTGGGTTACCAGTTTGAAACTTGGAATTTTACTGGATTTGCTAGAGTTTGTATTGGTGTACTGTGAAGAAACCGTTATATCGCTTATGAAAATAAAGACGAAGAGGTTTTATAGTGGTTCACCCTTCTCAAAAAGAGCTACATCCACGGTATTATATTTCTCTTGTTTTGGTTCTTACAAATTACACAAAAAAAAAAGATCCCCCGCTCACGGGGGCTTTGCCCCTTTTATAGTGGACATTACATGAGCCTTGCCCAACGGTAGACGGTTTGAGCCATTTGACCGTGTCTTCCAAGGGGGCCATCCACTCGAGTGGCCTATGGCCTCATTTGTCTATACCGTAGCCTGTCAGCACCTTTTGGACTATTCACTCATCCAATTTGTCCCCCAATTACGGCTTTGTAGATCCCCTATAATAGCTAGTGATCCGTTCCAGGCGGTTTTAGAGGCTCGTAATCATTTCTTGTGCAACTGACCTTTTCCAAACCCATACGCAACCTTCAGATATCCAGCTGATTACCTCAGGGGTCTTCCTTGGGATGTGGGTCCAGTTGCTTACGCTCAGCCCTCTGTGCCTATTCCAAAATTTGCCATGCGTGGCCTTTCTCTCAGTCGACCCTATCACGTTACTTGTATTAACTGGTCTCCCAAGTCTCGACTGTGTATAGGGTCGGCAGCCTCGAGCCCCCCTTATACACTCAGCTCCCATACCACATGGGAGGGAAAAATGAGCCTCAGGCGTCGGAGCCTATTTGACGTGGCAGACATGGGTCACGTGTGGCATGATCGTTGTTTGATGTGTCAGTGTGAATTTTTCCACACAACAGTATGGATAAATAAATTTCAGTTACATTTCAAGCCAAATAATTATAAGCAGGATTAGACATTCTATTGGCTATATATATATATATATATATATATATATATATATATATGTATATATTAGCAGCCAAAGGTTATAGTCAAAATAGTTTGCGTGCTATGTTATATGCGTCTGAACAAAAGAAACATTTAATAGCATGAAGTGGTCAAATATTCATATTGAAGAATCCTATTTACATTTTCTTTTGTTCAACTCACCAAGTCACCATGAAGTATGAACCACATATATTTGTTGTAGCTTTTGCTTCTCATTGGAGTTGGAACGCATAAATTCTTATTTCAAGACGTTTGGGAGATGGAAGGATTTTCAACCAATGGGCATTGGTTTTCATGCCCACACGAGCATTGACCAAGATAACTGCTCCTGAGAAAACGCTTAAATTCTTCTATTTCTCAGTTCAAGAAGTTTGAAAAATCATCCTTTTTTTTTTTGTTTTGTTGGGTTTTCCTGTGTCATTTGACCTATAAGGGTGACCGAATTCCCACGCCGTAAGTGTACCTAATTCAATGTAACGACTGCCTCAACTTTGACAGCCATCACACACTTCGTAGCTCTTCCCACTCAATTCACGAATGCCTAATCATAAATGTTAACATCACTTTTTTAGTCACTCTATTTATTATTTTATGCATTTATTGTTTAATATATAAACTCTATTAATACTATATATTATTATTTAAATAAATAATAAAATAATAAAATTCACATATCAAACGGTAAATGTAAAGAGTGATAAAAGATCCGTTTAATTCGTTGATTCGAATTTTTAATTCGAGTTGATATATGACTTTATATGAGAGCTTTTTAGTTTAATAAAAAAATTAGATGTGACTGTTTTTAAAAGTTTTTTACTGTAACAAAAGTCAAATTTTAAACTCAAATCAGTGAAATGAATAGAATAAAAAAAATAACAGAAAAAGCGATGAAACTAATGATGGCTAATGATGGCTCAAAGCAGGAAGCCATATGGTCTTTGGACATCAAAGTCCAAAAGACGATAATGATTTTGAGCTCAGCAAATAGCTAGCGAGTTCCCATTTTTCTACATTAGAAACGTGTTTACCAACATCAATGGATTGCAGTTTTTGGCTCCAACTTGTAAAACATTTTAGCCCTGTCGTGTACCGCATATCGTGGATCCACCAAATAATGGCAAGAATTTAACTGGGGCTCCAACTAAAATGGCTGCAGGGAACAACAGTTTGCTTGAGCTTGTATAGGAAATATAGAACTAGAAGAATACCCCATTCGAGCAAATAACACAAAATATGGCACAAGTGTGAAATGAGTTAAAAGGGGGAAAGAAATCCTAATTTTCTCCACTTCTATTTCACGTATGATCACATTTATGAGTTTCACAAAAAAATACCCCATTTGAGCAAATAACACAAAATATGGCACAAATTGAAATGAGTTAAAAGGGGGCAAGAAATCCTAATTTTCTCCACTTCTAGTTCACGTATGATCACATTTATGAGTTTCACAAAAAACACCTTTTTAAGGTTAGATAAAATTGCTAAAATGATTGCGAGTCTAAGATTGATATTCTTTCTATGATGACACGTAGAATAAATGATTACCTCATGTGCTTTGGTAGTAAGTGGACTAGAAACTAATTGTTCCCACCAAGGATTATTTCTCAAAACATTTAAGAGTAGCAGCACATCACAGACCAGTCACTTCACAAGAACTTAGCAAACATACATTATAGTTCTTTTTTCTTTTTCAGTCTCCAACATCTTAAAATGAATATTCACAAAATGAGAACCAAGTTCCTTGGCCGATTTCAACTAAAAAACAATGAGAGCTCTTTTGGCATCCATGAGAACTTTTGGCATCCATGCATTTGTTGGCTTGTACAAATGCAGAGAGCTCTTTCAAGTTTCAGCTTTCATCCCATGGCATACTTCTGTGTCCAACTGCGAGCAGTGGCTTCGTACTTGCCTCTGTCGGTCTTGTACATGTGAGCAATTTCAGGGACAAGTGGATCGTCGGGGTTGGGGTCTGTCAACAGAGAGCATATAGATAGCAGCACCTGCAATACAGAAATTTCATATGAAAAACCGACCATAACCTTGTTTTCTACGAGCTACAGTTATTGATTCTAAAGATTGAATGTAGATCAATATCGGCATCTTGAGGAAATCACAAACTACTTGTATAACTTGATTCTTTGTTTCATCAGCAAACATTAGAAAGAGAACGGTCGTTAGACAGTCATATTACAGTAGATAACCAGAAAGAATGAAAGCAAAGAACATGGTTAAACCAAGTGAATGTCTTGAGACCAATTTCATCATCTTTTTTTGCTTGAAAATTCTTGAGAACATTTTCCCTAAAGCATACGTGGCTGCAAAGTTCATAGGGAAGTGAGAAATACAAACCTTAGAAATGGTTAATGCAGGACTCCACTGTTCTTTAAGAATATCTAAACATATGCTTCCATTGCTATTAATGTTGGGATGGAACACCTTCGTCCTAAACGCAACCTGAAAAAAATTTTACATTCTTAAGTCTCTAAAACTGCAAACTAACACAAGATTGAACCTATGCTGAGCTACACTCATGAGTCCTGAGAACAAGTGAACAGAACAACATGGCTAATACGTAAACAAGATAACCTTAAACAATCACATCCGTCACAAAGTTCTTAAAAAAAAATCCAAGTTACATACACTTATTAGCCTATAAAACTAATTAATGAATACATAACATAACTAAACTAACAATGCTGATTGAAGTAAAACCGCAAAATACAGTACATAACCGTTGCTAAACAGCAATTCCTTCCAATGGCAACGCATTTCAATTTCAATGGTGTCTTTCTACCCGATGGCAATGGCATAAGTCATATAACAACATCAAAGAAAAAAGGACTAAATTGCAGACAGCAGTTGAATAATCCGGCAAAATGATTAGGCCACTAAGCATGTCACGCGTTCAAAACCTTTCAGAACAATAAAGAAAGGATGGCAAATACAAGCGCAAGCTAAATCGACAGCAGAGTCACCCGTCAGTCATTCAATCACAAAATCAACACCCTTGCTACATATGATGTTTTTAGGACTTGCACTAGAAGACCAGGGCAACAGCACTTACCAGACAAAACATAAAAAGTGAAGAAAGGAGAAGACAAAAACCTTTGGGGGCTTAAAGGGATAATCCGGAGGAAAGTGAATTGAAACAAGAAATACGCCTCCCGCATATGGGCTATCAGAAGGCCCCATAATAGTTGCTTGCCAGTGGAACATATCCTCAGCCACAGGACCTACAAATTACAATGCAAAGATTTACAACTAAAACAAAAAAAAACAAAAAAAAAAACCAAAGAAAGAAAGAAACAAAAAAAATCCTTATAGACAATAAAAAAAATCATCTAATCAGCTGATGAGGAAAATCTCAATTTCAAATATGCCATGTCTCCTTTGCAATTCATAGAAGGTTCAACGTCCTCATAAAACTAAGCGGTTACATGAATAATTAAAACACTGATACTTTCTATTAGCATAAATCAATACAATAACAAAAAAGCAGAAAAAAAAACCTCAAAACTAAACGTGTATAAAAATATTGCCAGCCAAACAGAATTGGTGGTGACAAGTACAGTTATCAGGCATTATAAAATTATAATCTCGTGCTAAAGCTCCAATTTTTTCACACAAAAAAAAAAAAAAAAAAACCACAACATAATACTTTGGGAATAATAAAGGCAAAAAGAGCAAACCTGCGCTGCAAGAGGTAGGAGGATCCTTCTGCAAGTCCTTGAGTTCCTTCAAGATGCGTTTTGACGCCATTATTGCACCGACGAAGCTCTATAACACGAGAAAACGCACAAATCAGCACCAGATCGTGAATCCCAACAACATAGAAATTGCAACAAAATATTACAATAAAAATACAATTTTTGCAACGGAAGAAACAGACGAAATCTCTTCGGATTATGAGCTAGACCAGCAGATCAAAGAGAGAGGATGAGAAAGAAATTTACCTAAGAGGAAGAGGACGATGAAAATTGAGAAAAACCAGGTGTGAAGATTATTCGCAGAGATGGAGAAGACGAAGAAGACCTCTGAAGGAAACCAAAACGTGATAATAATTATACGGCTGAAGACTAGAGGTTCTAGAATTTTCTGTCAATATATTCCAACTTAGCGTAGGATCAACGCCCCAAAAAAAAGTCCTTTCCACTTTTTCCTTTTCAAGTTTTTTTTTTTTTTTTTTTTCGTTTTTGTACTTTGTAGTTTGAATTTATTTAAGAATATATTTTCCTTCACTAATCAATGGTGAATTTTGAAAATTGTACTTTTTAGCTTATGAATAAATACTAAATAAAATATAAGTTTTTTTAAAAAAAGAAATGATAGTTTTAAAGGAATTTTTTAAGTACATTAACGTACAGATAAATTCTATTTTTTAACTGTTGAATTTCTATAATATCGTATAAAAATTAAAAAATATGTAAATTTAACGGTTAAAAAATATAACATATTAATACACTAAGCGTATTAGAGAATTTTTATTTTTTTAAATGAAAAACCCTACAGGTAATTTTTTTGACATAATAACTATTTTTTTATTGTATTAAAAATAATTAACTTTGATTTTTCAATTTTTACCACATATAAAATCATTTAATTTTGAATTTTTTAAAAAAAATTACATATTCTACCCTTTTAAAAACCTGATTTACTAAAAATATTCTTGTTAAAAAATTCTACTCCTTAACTAATTTTAATTTAAAAAATAAAAATATATAAAATAATATTAAAGAGTAAAAATAAAAAAAATAATTTTATATCAAGAGATATTTTTAGAAATTTTTGATTTTTTTTACATTTTTTTATGACACCAAACAAAATTGTACCCTACTAACAGTCTTCTTTACGAGTAGGTTTATGTGTGAGTCCCTCATATGATAAAATTTATGTGAGTTTTATCAAGTGAAGTCTACACTTTTGTGTCTGATGAGAATAATTTGCGATGGGACACAAAGGGTTTGCCTTTCTTTATATCAAGCAAAGCCAACAAGGCAACAAGACACTTTCACAGAGTTAATTTTGACCAATTTTAACATCTGTTATTATATTTCGATTATTTATAATTTGTTAAGAGATTTTTTTTTTTGTATTTTTTTATTTACGAATCAATCCAACTACTTTTTCCTTCCTCCCTATTGTGTTCGTATCTGGTCCAGATTCTATTGGTATCTATGACCCCACAATGTCATCATGATTTGGGCATCGTGGCAGTAAAACTTTTCCTCCCTAAATTATTTTATTGTTCCATTATTCGGTCGTTGTGGTCCTTGTGACAATCATTTGCAACTTTTTGCCCGTTTCTCCTTTCATTATTAACGAATTTCTAGCAAATTTTTATTATCTTTTTTACCCCGCCACTCTCATCCAATGAACATAGCAATGCCAATGCCAATCAAATTTCTATTATTCTTTTAGAAAAAAAAAAAAAGGAAATAATAGTTATCAAATTTCCACTATTCTTGCAGCAAAAAGAAAAAAACTATTATCCAATTGTGGGGTAAGGACAAACAACTTGGGCTCTCACGGTTCGAGAAAAGCCCATTCTATAAGCTATAAAGCCGTCGCCGACAGATTAGAATTGAAAAAAAAAAAACAAAAAGAAAAAAAAAAGGCAGTGAGACGCGTTTTGTTCGAATTCCAAGCAGGCACTAAAGTCGTTCCATCAATACACACAGCTCCATTTCCTCAAACAGGAGGGAAAAAAACCCCTCCATTCAACTGGCATGTTCCACGCCTTTTAACAAGCAAGATATCGAACGAGAAAAGGGCATGAAAACTCTTCATTTGTACCTGCTTTATTTTGGGGAATGAGTTTGAGCTATTCAAATTTTTAATTTTAATTTTATTACAGTTAAAAACTCTCATAAAAAATTACATCTAATTTTTTTACTATAGTTAAAAACTCACATAAAATCACATCTCAGTTCAAATTAAAAACTCAAATCGGCAAACTAAATGATACTCAAACTATTTGGTTGCATTAAGCACTAAAATTACTGTAATCATTAAGGCCCATTGGGTTTATAAATTCAAACTTGAGTTTAAACAGTAATTTTGATTATAATTTTTTAAACCATAAATTTAAACCCATAAAACAAACATACCCTATATTCACCAAGTATGCAAAGGGCTAGTAAATATAAAATCCCAAGAAAAACAACTAAAAATACAAAAACAAAAAACAAAATAAACAAAAAGGCTCGCTTCATTGACCCTCCAAATTAGTCCTATTAACTAAGAGGCTGTGTAGTTTTCTCATCTTCTGTCACAATAAGCTTGCCTTCTATAAACTGGCAAGCAGGAATCGGGACACCAAGCTGCTTCTGCAGCTTCTTCACAACAAAAATTTCTGGCTCCTCACACAATGTTACGACTGTGCCTGGCCTGCCGAGCCGGCCAGTCCGACCGGCTCGGTGTGCGTAGTGAATTGAGTCTGTGGGCAGGTCTAGATTTACTACAAGATCACATTCCGCCACATCCAAACCCCTAGCTGACAGTTCGTTTGTAACGAGAACTCTCACTTCCCCTCTCTTGAATTTCTTCATAGTTGTTGACCTAGCAAGCTTGCCAAGATCCCCATGTAGCTCCATGGCGCTCATTCCCCGAGCCTCTAGCTTAAAGACCGCATCCTTTAACTGCTTCGTGTGGTTCATGAAAACTATAACGGACTTGGCATCAAGAGCATGAACACATCTTCTCAACGTGTCAACCTTGTGTTGTAACCTTGTGACACAATGATAATGCTTCAGAGAGGGAGGCAGGCTCTCCACTGCTGGCGGGCCCTGAAGATTTGAGGATGAACTTGAACTGGTTGTAGGCTTGGACGGAATGATGGGTCCAGTTTGCGGGACGGATTCTAGACGAATGACTTTCTTGGCTTGGACAAGAAGTGGATCGTGGCCCCAACTCCTTGCCGCTCTTATGACTGAAAATGGAACCGTTGCTGACACTAAAATAGTTTGGCGCTCAACCCTCTTGGCAAGGGAGCTTTTTGATTCACGCGGGTCAGAGCCTGATCTGCTACCTACATGTTCCAGAATCCTGTGCATGTCCTCTCGGAAGTTAAACGAGAGGAGTTCATCGACCTCGTCTAAGACCAAGTATTGACATCCGTGAGTGTGGAGTTTCCCAGCAGCACTGATCTCCGCAATCCTACCAGGAGTCCCAACAACAATGAGAGGTTTGTTTTTCTTGAGAGCTTCTTCCTGCCGTGATCGATTCGCACCCCCAACAAGCTGCTGAACAGCTCTTTTGTTTGCAGGGCCTAATATTTTCTCAAACTCCCTAACAATCTGCATTCCCAGCTCCCTAGAAGGAGCAACTACAACTGCTTCTATATCTGTTTTCTTCCCAGGTTCTCCACCTCCACCAGAAGTTTTCTTCTTCAGAGGGCCCACGTCAGCGAGTATAGGAAGCAGATACGCCAGTGTTTTCCCAGAACCCGTATAAGACTGAATGACAGCATCATGACCTTTGAGAATCAGCGGAATTGCTGCAGACTGAACATCGGTTGGAGTCATGAATCCCTCACTCTCTAACCTCTCTATTAGAGTTTGTGAAAGGCCAAGCTCAGAAAATGACTTGGCTGCAAATGGTGCAGCCTCTATTTCAACCGTCTTTTGTTTCCCAGCTGACTTGATTACATTGCTTCTAACTGCCTTCTTCCCTTTGGGAACTTCAGGACGAGAATTCAGCCGTTTAACCTTTTCTGTTTCTGCTGGTTCTGTAGTTTCAATAACACTTTTAATTCCAACACTTGCCAGAGTGAGAGGCCCATGGTCACGATCAACCTGATGCCTAACCGTTACACCGCTATGCAACCAAGTTTTCCTAGAAACATGTGATAACTTTTGGAAGGGAAGTGACCCTCCGAAAAGGAGCAACCTCGATGAGATTAATGCCGGCATTTTGTGGGTCCCAACCAGTAGAAAATCCGATCTTGAATAGGTTACCCTAGTAGCATTACCAACAACTATTAAAAGGCTTCGATTCTTAACAATTGGGAGAAAGTTTATCCTCAACCCTGTAAAGAAAATGTCACAAAAATGGAAATTACTATTTTTCGTACCAGTAGAAAATAGAAGAATAGTCATTCTTAAACATTTGTTCAGTCATTTTATAGGGATGAGAACGGTATATTTCATACATATAAACAAAACATGTTTCCCCATTCTATGAGGCATTTTGTCAAACACCATGAGCACTTACCAATCAGCAATTCTAACTACTTCGAAATTGAACCGAAAGGTTGGGTTAGCTTCTTAACACATACAAAAGCAAACGAATTTTTCTTTTTTCCTCACTCTTGATTATCATTTTATTTGTCTTGAGAAATTTTTAAATGTAATTTCAACTGAATACTTAAAATCACAATCCTCCTCTTAAAAGTCACACTCTTAATTGCAAGTTTGCATGAGTTTTGTTACAAAAAATCCACAAAAAAATGTCAATACAGCCAAAGAAAAACCAAGAAGTTGGTCTGAAAAGGAGAAACTCCATAAATGTAACAGTCAAAAAAAATGCATTATATAATTATATATATACAGAGAGAGAGAGAGAGAGAGTACCTGAGAAGTATATGGAGGATTTGGGAAAAGCTTCAAAAATCAGCAAGGGATTAGGGTTTCCGATTTCTGGTACAATCAGAGTGCTGAGAGACTCGGAACCAGGGTGATGAGCATCGAGCTTGGGCTTGTGCCACTGAAGAAGAAACCATTTTATCCTTTCTCCGTGATTTTGCAGAAAAGTTCCCTGTCAATTTTGTGTTTTGTTTTCCCCTCCTTTTTACTTCTTTTATTTCATTTAGGTCCTCAACCATTTCACTTATAAATTATAATTATAAATTTATAATGAAAAATTTTGATTTGACAGCCAGCCACAATATAGAAAACTGCTCGGTAAGAAAGATTCACAAATGAAAATAAAATAAACAAAAATTAATACCGCAAGGCCTAAATTTTACTCGAGTGGTTATATTTACTTTTAACAAAAAGAATTCTAAAATTTTTAATCGTGACTTGAGTTATGGAAAGAACTTAACTTTAGTATTTTACCAACAATATTTGGCTCTTTCACTAATAGATTGACGACATCATCGATGTATGTTGAGGGGAATTAAAAGTAATGTTAGAGATATTAATTCAAATTTTAATTTTTATATATATTAAATGATGTGTCATGTGAATTGTTATGTTTCTATTAGTATATGTTATCTCTTATTATTAATTGATATGGTACTATTTTAAACACTTATTAATATAAAAATGACAATTCATATGTCACATCGAATCAAGATATGCTGTAATAATATTTAAAAAACCTGTTAAACCGCTAAAAGCACTCAAATTAAACTAAACCAAATCGTTAAGGTCTCGTTTGGTTTATGAGTTCAAACTCATAATTTTAATTTTGCTACATTATTTTCTCTCACAAAAAATTTAAATTTAAAAACTTCCCACCAATGAGTTATTTCACAAAGTTTGGATGCAGAATCAAAATTACGAGTTTGAATCTATGAACCAAATGAGCCCTAATTATTTTTAGATTATTTGGCGGTTTGGTTAATGGTTTGGATTGCAACCCGCCCAATAATAGACATATTTAATTTTTTATTTTTAAAGTATTTTTTCTTTATTTTAACTTTTATTGATAACAATAGAGAATCTGCAATTGTAAAATATACACTACCACATTTTAATTGGTTTGAATTAAAACTTTGAATGATAAACTTTTAGATATTTGTCATATTTTGAATTATATTGTAAACTTGAACGCTGTTTTTATTTTTATGGATTAACAATTTATAATTTTTTAAATTATTAAAGATTTTCTTAGTCTTAAATTCAAACCAAACCACTCATGAGTGATTTGGTTTAATTTGATTTTTGTTAAAAATATCATGCCGCCCCAAAAGAAAAAATTATTTTTAGTTTGGTTGGTGGTTTGTACCAAAAAAAAAAAAAAAAAAAAAAAAAACCCCCCAAACGGGTTTTGAACGCCCAAACCTAACGCGAACGCCCCTTATCTATTGTCTCATTTTCCTACTTCGGTGTCTGTCTCTTTAATTAAATTTTAACACCTCATGAATTACTCAAGTATTTTTAGTATTTTCTTCCCATTCATGTGGTTGGATTCCTAAACTTAGATAACATGGCAAACAAGTAGTTGAGGGACAACTAGGGAGACAAAAAAAAAAGGACAATAAATATGGACTATGCGGTACACGAGAGTTAAAATTTGAGTTGATATTTTTAGCATTATTCAAGAACAAATCTTCAAATTTCAAAAAAGTTTGCAATTCTAATAGCTTGGGATTGCATAATGTGGAAATTTTAATCTAAAATGAGGAAGAATTTGCAGTCCAAACCACTAATTAAACGGTCTAAAAAAATAGACTAACAAACCGATTAAACCGTTAAATAATCTAAAAATAATTAAGGCCCGATATGTTTTTTTTTTAGATTGAATTTTTTCATATCTGGCTTTTTGACGGATAACTGATCTGCAGTTTTTTTTTTTTTTTTGGGGTTTTCTTTGTATATATGTTTTTGGTGAAGGAAGGAAGAGAGAAAAAGAAGAGAGAGAGGATTTGAGAATTTTTTTAGATTTTTGTATTTTGTTTTTTAGTTATATTTAAAGCATTTTTTTAAATATGTCTTAAAAATTTTTGTTTTTAATTAATTAATGAGAAGTGTAATTTTAACTTTTTATATTTTAAAAAGGGCTTCATGGTATAAAAAAAAAAAAAAAAATTTAAAATGTCGAGATACCTTACATAAAATTATTAAAAATGCATGATATTAAACCCATATTAACGCAGGTATCATAAAAGTTTTCCGCCAGTCACCTTACCATAATTGACCAAAAATTTACGAATGGCATCAATTCATTCATCAAGCTGATGTTAAATTTCTCCCCCTCACGTGGTAATGATGCAAGGAAGCAAACAATGGCTTGATTTTCTTGACGTGATTCATTGTTTTAGATAGATTTCCTCCGAAAACAAATAATAATAATAATCGAAAGTAAAAGACACCACCTTATCAAGAAATATTTCCTTTTGTTTTCCAAACTGAGAATACAATGTTGTCACCCCTACGCTCTCCCATCACTCTTCTGGCTTTAAAAAACTCAAAAGAAGAGAAAATCTTCAAGAGAGTTTTTTTCACCATCGGAAAAACCTCAAAGCAAAACCTTCAAATCATACACACTTTGAAGTAGTCTCTACATTCCATCACAACCTTCCGAAGAAAAAAAATGAAGATACAAAATCCACTCAAATCACAACACAACAAATTCTATTTCTTTCCTCTCCTTAGAGAGGGAAAATCCTAGCACTGCACCGAGACTTTTTTCCATGATCAACTTCCGTTTTCTGTGGATTGCAAGAAATCAATACAGGAACACCATCAATGTCAATTCCTCCAATATGAAATCCCACATTCCCCCTAAGCGTCACGTCGAAAACCGCCTCCGAGTCATTCAAATCGGAGACCATTTCCTCGGCGTCCTCTCCGTCGACGCCGGGTTTCTCCACCGCAGTGCTCACTCTCAGCTCCGTCGTGTTCCTCGGCCTCTGTGAAAACGCGCCGATCTCAGTTTCCCCCAAATTGATCCTCTCCGACGACGCTTCGACCTCCAATCGACCGAATGAGACCGCGATTTTCTCGTTCTGGTTCGAGAACTCGACGAGAAGTTCGAGATTCGCGTTAATCGAACCGGTTAGCTTTCCGGACTTAGGGTTCTGGACCTCGAGCCTGGCGAATTTGAGGCCGCGAACGGCGATATCCGGCAGAGCGGTGTGAAGAAAGGAGGCGAAGAGGATGCCGACGAGGAGGACGAGGAGGACGAGGGCGAAGATGGAGAGGCAGGCCCAGGCGCAGAGGGAGAGGCAGAAGGGACGGCAGTTCTTGCCGTTGTGGAGTGGGAGGGTTGGTCGGTTGTGCTTGGGAGGGAGGTCGGAGAAGCAGACGTGGCGCGTTCGCGTGGATTGGGTGCGATGAGGAGGTCTCGGCAATGGCGGAGCAGGTCGTGAATCCGCCATTGTCGGAGAAAGGTCCGACCTTGAGGAAGGAGAAGGACGGGGATTTTGGAGATCATATGATTATGAGCGGTTTCTGAGGATGGAATTGCTTCGCCGTGGATTTCGGAGAACCGTATCTATCTATGGTACGGGATTAAAGTATGTGGTTGGCACTTGGCGGGAAAGGTTGCTCATTGCTGGTTTTCTCTGTTTTCCTTTTTTTTTTCTTTTTCTTTTTCTCCCTTTTTTCCATTTTTTTTATAGAATTGCATAAATAAGTGGGGTTACATTTTAAAAAATGGAGATAAAAAAGAGAAAAAGTTTACCAATGATTGGGCAATGGGCACAGTTGAAAGTATTGTAGCTCAATAATAATAGTGAATAGCTTATTTTTCTTTTCTTGTCTTGGTAAAATGGCTGGGTTTACTAGGTTGATACAAAAATTAAAAATTTCTTAATTATTTATAGCCGGAAAATTTTGAGCATTTTTCTTAAATTTTCTCCTAAAAAATAGTTATTTCCTCAAATCACTTAACGAACAAAAAAAAAAATTATATGGACAAATTTGTTCGTTTTGATTGGATAGCTCTTGAATTGGTGCATAACAAATTTTGTCGTTTTACGTTATTGTAATTAGCATTGGAAAAAAGCGTATGATCATCACGTCCATTTCTGGTGTGCAGAACCCCATATTCTGTCAAAATAGTATAATGCAAAAGGTGGAGAAGAGATGAAAGTTTCCAATTCCATCAATTAAATCATTATGTGCAAATTACATCAAATCATCAAAAAGCAAAAAACATCTAACAAAAGTAAAAATCTAATTGCACTAAACCCCTAAGAAACCGAAACTCTGGACAGATTCACACTCTACCAAGCGATACATGGATGTGAAGTTTGAATAATGCTTGAAAAAAGTTTTCAAGCAAAGTTAAACGCGTGACATATTTCAATCTTGCTTCCCTTGATCAGATGAGAGAATTTTCAACTGATATTTTGGAAACAAGTTACAGAAATCATGGAGTCTGCACAGTTGAATCCTTGGACTTGTTCTCTTCTGAAGACGGCCGGTTCTCTGAGTCAGATTGCCGGATTTCCTCGATCATTCTAACAACTTGCTCCATGCTAGGCCGCATATCTGGAACCTTTGTCACACAGGCCATAGCAATTTGCAACATCTGCACCATTTCTTCCTCAATATTTTGGTACCTCATCAGCTCAATGTCAAAGACCTCGGCCGTCCATTCCTCCCTTACAACAGAGTGGACCCACCTAGGGAGATCAACCATGTCATCACGGCCAGGCGACTGAAGTGGAGCTTTTCCTGTCAACATCTCAAGGAGAAGGACGCCAAAGCTATACACATCAGACTTATGGGTGTACTTACGGGTTTCAATCACCTCGGGAGCACGATACCCCACACTCCTAGAAGGAGTGGCGTGTGCATTCATAAGAGGCGTCAGGCCAAAATCAGAGATGCAGCCGTCAAGATCTTGGTTGAGGAGGACATTTGAGGCCTTGACATTTCCATGAGTGAACTTTGGACCGCCCATAGAGTGAATGTGGGCAATTCCCTTTGCGGTTCCAAGGGCAATCTTTACTCTGGTTTCCCAGTCTAGTGGAGTTCTTCCACCTCCTCTGTTTCCTGTCATGAAAACGAATTCCGATGTTGTGAACAAGAGTTTTTCACCAGACAACGCTAGATTCTGAACAAATATGAGTCTAGTCTGGAAGAAAAAATTATTTTATCCGAAAAGAAGAATTTATCATCATTCAACAAAATAACTAAGGAACTACAAACTTCTTGAATACAACCGGGATGCTCAGAAACAAACAGCAGTGAATTAAAAGTTTCATTGATATTTAAAATAGAAGCAAGAAAGAAAAGACGCGATATCGATCGTGGGTATTCATGACATTATAGACAATATAAACAAGGGACTTTTTCCAATAGGCCTCTTTGCCGATAGTACCAGGTTCTGACCCTTGGAACTAGTCAAAATTACATCAAAGTATAAAAAGTATACAGAACAGACAGTTTCTGATACAGATCTGACGCTTGAAAAGTAGATAACTACTTATAGTTTATTTTTTCTGGTCCTACTAGGGAAACTCCCTATAAAAAAACATTACAGATCCCAAAAATATTTGGAAAAACATATGCATCTTTTTTCAATGTGATCGTATGACATAATTCTTAACTTCTAGAAAACTAATCCTTCAATTGCCAACTTTGGTACAAGTTACCAATCGTTTAGGTTCATGATGGTTAAGGCCTAGAAATACAACTATGAAATATGAAGTATCCCTATCCCCCAATAAATAAAAAAATGATAATCTCAACATCAAGCAAATTACTTCAGAAATTAGGTGCACAACTAGCCTATACAGAAATTCATTCTGCCCAGTACGTGCTATACACTGATGATTGCGAGCACATGAAAATCTTTTGCATTGTCCTTGGCATATATTTACTTTTGTTCATGTCACTTTTGTATGTAGAAGTTTCCATTGTCAGTTAATTTTTCATCCAAAGTGCAAAAAAGGACACCAAGAGGATCAGGATATGCATACCATGCAAGAGAGCGGACAAACTTCCACGCGGGAAATAGTCATAGACCAGGAGCTTCTCATCCTTTGAGTAGTAATAGGCGCGGAGCGGCATAACATTTGGGTGTTGTCCAACCCTTCCAATAATATCCATTTGCTGTTCAAAGTCCCTCTTCCCAACAACCACTTCCTTCAACCTTTTCACTACAACTGTTGTTGCCTCCTCTAATATGGCCTTGTATGCCGTTCCATAACTTCCTTTTCCCAGCACTTCAGCTGAAGCTCTCAATAAATCTTCAAGATCAAAGTTATAAGAAGAGCCTTCAAAGAAAACTAGCTTGTTCTTTTCAGGTTCTTGCACCCCACTCCCAAACTCTTCTCTAGGCTTCTCGCTCCTCCCGACACTAGAAGCCTTTCCTTTCGGAACACGAGCACCCCCACCATCCTTTTTCTTGAAACAACACAGAAGAATAAATAAAGCTATAACAAACAGCAGCAAAACCCCTCCACCAGCTGCAATGGCAATGATTGCCCACATTGGCAGTTTCTTTTTGGTGCTCTTTCTTCGAGGAATAACCGGTAACGGAGGGAAAGACGGAGGTGGAGAAACAATTTGGGAGCAAGTTTCGAGAGGCGGTCCACATAAAAGAGAATTCCCAAGAAATGATGAGTTGGAAAATCTTTGAAGAGATAACGGGATAGACCCATTAAGATTATTGTAGCTCAAGTTCAAATGCTTTAGCCCAGTTGCGTTGATATAAGGTATGGGTCCAGAAAGGGTGTTGTTCTGGAGGTTCAAACCAGTCAGTTGAGTCAAATTCTGTATTGTTTGTGGGATTTCGCCCGAGAACGAATTAAAAGATAGATCCAACACATTGAGTTTGGGGGATAAAGAGGCAGGAATTTCGCCAGAGAAGTTGTTATGTTGGAGATAAAGGTAGTGGAGTGAAGGAAGGGAGGTAACATCAGAAGGAAGATCACCACTGAGGAGATTTGATCTAAGGCTGAGAACTCTGAGGGCATCTAGCTTACCAAGGGTGTTGGCTGGAATAGTACCTACAAGCCCAACACCGGGAAGCCGGAGGGAGAGCACACGAGTGTGGTCTTCGGTGCAATTAACGCCAATCCATGACGTGCAGACAGGTGTTGCAGGGTCCCATTTGAGGTTCCGGAGATGAGGAACAGCAGCAGCAAATTTGAGGAGCGCTTGCTTATCCGAGTCAAGGTCAGCAATAGCCAAAGGAAGAAGAATGACGATGAAAACAAAGAAAGGTAACACTGCAGCCGCACAGTACTTCATGGGAGAGTGCTGGAGCAAAGAATCTGAAGTCAAATAAATAAATTGCTACCTCTGCAGGCCACACTTTTCTCCTGGTTCAGCATGAACAAAGAAAACAACGGCATAATATTAGCTAGTTTCACAGAAATAAAAAGGAAGCATAGTAATATATATTAATATCCAAAATAGAATGAGATTGTTGCTCACTCCATAGTCCCCCACTCATAAATTTTTTTTTAAAAAACGACTTGTTTAAACTGAGTGTCTGTCTAGCAGTAAAAACATTTTTATTTCAGAGTTCAAAGGGTCAGCGTCAAAGCAATAGCATTCAGCATTTGTAGTAAAACACATCCTTAGGACTTACAGTGTCGTTTTTCTCAAGGCTACTCTATAAAGTTTTGGAAGCTCCAGACATCTCTAAAACGGTCAACCATACGTGTTATTTGATTGGCTAATGCCCCAAGCCCCAATCCCCAAGGGATGCCAATTCAGCTGAAATACAGTGTTAAAGTACCTAAAAGCTGAAAGCAAAACGAGTGAAGGTTCCTTGTACACAAAACCGTGCTTACCACAATTTTAGTTGAAACATATCTTATTAATCATAGAAGAGAAGGAGTTCTAGAATTTTCCCAAAGTCTTACCTAAAAGAAGGAAAGTAAAAAATTGGGGAGAAAAAAAAAGGGGGCCAAGAGTGGTTTAACAACCACATTTCTAGTCGTAATCAAAAAAATAACTAAGGAGACAAAATGAAGTTGAAAATCTTTGTAGAAGAAGCATACTCAACTCAACTCAGTAATAACAAACATTATTCTTATTATTTACTCTTATGAAATTCAAGAAGATTCATTTCCAGAAGCACATTCACCAAATTCAACAAAATGGGTCATAACAAATCTCGAAAAAGAAAAAAAAGAACTGGGTTTTGAGCCAAACTTTTTAGCCCAATTGAGAAACGCTCTTCACAAATCACAATGACCCAGATCTACAACTTGTTCAAGCTAAAGAAGAGAAGAATTATAAAATGGGTACCTGGAAATGGACGAGGAGACGGGGGCTGAGCCGAAGAGCAACCATTAGAGCTCCGTCGAGCTCGCAGAGGTCAGCATTGGGTCCGAAACGACGTAGTTTAACGGCATTCAGATCCCGGGCATTGGAGCTCTTCTCCGATTAGCTTTCGAAACATACGAGGAAACCCAACTGATTTTTAAGGTTTTTCGGTCAGATGATAAAGCCGATTAAGCTTTTATCATTCTTAATAATGCAAATTAAATTGCTAGAGTTAGTAGATAGACTGACAAAAGGGAAAAAAAATAATAAGTAATTTTGGGGAATTTTCAGTTTGGTTCTTAAAAGAACAGAATACAAGAAAAGGTTTTTTTTTTTTTTTTGGCATAAAGGGGAAAGAATTAAAAACAGAGAGGATGAGAGAGAGAGAAGAGAGAGAGTAATAAATTAAAGAGAGTACACTGTATGACTCGACTATGAGAGTATGAAGAGAGAGAGACCTGCAAAATTGACCATAAATTTACATCGTAAGCAAACAGACTAAATACTGCTTGTTCTTCATAATAAATAGTGAGAAAAATAAAATAAAATACACAACTTAATATTAGTCTCATTTCATTGCGGTTAAGTTGGCCTTTTCCTCAATCAACTGAAATTCGACACTCTGTTTAAATCCCAAAAATAAAAAAATAAAAATAAATGTGAAAATATATTTTAGTACAAAATTAGACTTTTGCACCCTTAAAAGTGGGAGTAGTGGGGTTGAAATTAGAACGTGGATGGGGTGGATTTACTGGATAGAAAATTAGAAATATAGAGAAATTGACCCACATTTTCTCCCTTTTTTTTTCATTTTTCTTTTCAGGGTATTAGTATATGCATGATTTCTGTGGGTCTGCCCGTGTTTGTCGGCTTGCATGCACAATTTTTCAGAAAAAGAAATAAAATAAAGTCTTTAACATCTATTAATTAAAGTGGCCACATGAAAAAAAATTTCAGGGGAAAAAAAGGAAAAGGAAAAAAGAATTATACTTCCTCCACACCTATTAGTTTAGAGAGTACATAATCACAAAAAGAAAAACAATTTCCAGGAAAAAAAAAGGAAAAAACTTTGACTGTTACTTGTGATTTATGAGCTGTGTTTGTTGCATGTGAAGCGTCAAGCATTGTCCGTTTCTTTTCTTCCTCTTGTTACAATTGGCCAGAGGATGAAGAATCGGTCCTTAATAAAACTCTTCAATCTTGTGAAAAATGTGAAGGATCAATAACAGCTTATTTCAGGTTCTTAGTCGCATATTAATAATATATGATAATTTGTTGGTAAGGTATGAAAAATATTCTATCGATAAAAAATTGTTTTGAATTGTCAAATTTTTTGTTTTTAAATTCCATCAGTTTTATGTATTTTTATTTTCATATTATTTTTGCCATCCATTCAAACCATACAAAACCTCCCCATTAATCATGTTTAAATTAATGACTAAGAGTGGACAGTACAAGGTGAAACTAAATTAGTAAATTTAGACAATGGCATTTTATTTCCAAATATGGTCAAATATGGCAATTGTTTGGTAAAAGGCTCCAATCTAACAGCTTTCGTCTTGTGGCTTCTTTCTTTTGTATTAGCTTTAGCCTCATGAACTGGATTGTGGCCGAAAAAGGGGGTTGGTTTTCAAAATGATCTCAAAAATTACAGCCCTTTTCTTCTGCTTCGTGTCCCTTTTGGAAGCAAGTGGCTTTTTAGTCAAAGAAGTTTCCTACGGAGTTTTTTTTTTTTTGAAATTTTGAATTGCATTTGCCATAATGTCGTTTTTTAACACTCCAAATAAAGTCGTACCTCATCGGTATATTCAAAAGGGATTGGAAATAAAAATAAAATAAATAAAATAAAAAGATTGGGAATTGAAAAAAGCCATAGCTTCTTTCTTTATTGAACAAATGTGCAAATATCACCTCTTATCACTGTTTAAGAATTTTTGTTCAAATTAAATGCTTAGTCTTGAATATTTAAAATAACAATATCCAACAACATCTTCAGTGATTTAGTCTTAAATGCTTAGTGTGAAAAGACAAAACAAAACAAAAAATTATTAGTGGCCACGATTATACACAATTAAAACAAAAGAACAATAGCTTGATCAAGTACACCAACTATTTATAAGAGCTTTATGTGAACAGAATATACATTTCGGTTAAAATCATATCAAAATAATATATATATATATATATATATACAAATATAATTGCTCAAAAAAAGATTATTATTATAATATTTTTTAATATCTTTAGATAATTTTTTCAATATTTATATAAATAAATATTGTAGCTATATAGGTTAATGTATACATAATGTAGTTATGTAATTCTTCTCTTGGTTGAAGTAGTAGGTAGTCCCTTGATCCAACTACTCTCAACCTCTTCCCCATTTTTATTACCAACCACTCTCCACTTGTTTGATCTCAAAACCTTATCTTCAATCCCAAGCGAAAATATTGGGATTTCTTCAAAACGATGATATCCCACTGCGAAACGAGAAGAAAAAAAAAATGTAATTTTTATCTTCACAAAATAAGAAATTGTAACTTGTTAAATGAAGACAAGAACGTGTAATTACTAAAGAGCAAAAAGCCATAATATTATCTAGGCTATAACATCAGAATATAGGTCAAAAAAATTAGAGAAAGAAGATGAAAATAAATTTTCCCACGTGATCATTTTTAGAATATTCGACAATTGAGTTCTTTCAATAAAATGTGCATAAGAGCTCTTTTCTTCCCATTCATCCAACAAACCAAAACTCAGGATCATATATATGTGTGTATACACATATAACACATATATATATATATATATATATCCAACTTACAAACAAATAAGGGGGAAATATAAAAAGAAACAATGAATGGGAAGTTGTAACCTCTATAATGATGTTTCAACTTTGTTTAAAGAGATCATGATTACCATTGGGGTCACCTGAGTTGGCCATGTGAGAAATACCCATCAAATTTCATATTATATTACATAGTTAATTACTTACTACGTAGAAAAAGAAGAACGTAGCATGAGTCCATGCCCCATGGCTATAGCTTGGCCTCTCGCATCAATATCACCCTGTCAACATCCATGTATGATCTATAGACTAATGAACAATCTGACTACGTACAAGGGAAAAAAAAACTAAGAAAAAAGGGGTTAATTCTAGTTTTAATGGCGCTCGAGCTTTACTATCACTATACTTCTGGTCCCTCCATGAGAAAACCGTTAAAAATATATGAAATGTGCATGTAATGAACATGGAAAAATACTCAGTATCTCAATTTAATAAAAAATTAATTAAGGATTGATTTTGATTATGAACGCGATGAATATTAGGTGTCTCAATTTTCTCCCTAGAATTTTAAAGTTTATTTGGGCGGTGACAAATAACATTATTTGCTTGTGTTTTGAATACAGTATCAGAGGGAACAATAATTGTATATATGCATGCAAAAATACATCATATATTTTGCCACAATTATTTTTTCGTGCTTAGTGATGTTTGCTGATATACATGAAAAGTAGAACTAGATCAAGACGAACGTAAAGGTGCAATAAGCTCTAAACAATACAGAAAACAGCATGCGAATCTTTCATCAATTAATGCATGCAAAAATAATGTTGATTCGTATAATCAAGTACACCAGATCTTAATTAAGAGAAGGAGAATGATTCCACCAGCTTGGCAGAGAAGTACAGTTTGTGTTGCAGTCAGCAGTTTGCCTCTTAATTTCTTCTTTATTATTATTTTTTTAAAAAAATTAAAAAAATCATTTAGTCTTGACAACTAATTTTGCAAATAAACGGGAACATATTTGGTATTGTTGAAGCTTAACTCATATATGGAAAGAAAATGGGATTGCACCATTCACCAAAGTCAATTTCTCCCAATAAAAATCAAATTTTCTAGTACGTAGAAGTGATCTTTTTTTTTTTAATGGAAACGTAGAAGTGGTAATAAAATATAAAACCAACCGCTTTCATATCATTATTCGTGTTTTTATAATGCATAGGATCAAGTGCCAAGCTTCAGCTCAACATTGAGTAAACTTCAAATGAATCAAAAGGGTTTGACTTAAATAGAATATTATAGATCTTTATTATTATTCTTATCTGTCAAGGTTTAAATGATGGAATAAACGTTCAAGCCAAAACAAAAAAACAAAAACAAAAACAAAACAGAGAGAGAGAGAAGAATTAAAGAACAGAGGCTTTCTTTTGTCCTTTTTTTATATTTTAGAACTCTACCGGTAGAAATTTTTACTTTACCTTATTAATAAGAACGGTTGTTTTTAACTGTTTAATTATTTTTTAATAATCAAATTTGTAAGTATTCGCAATAAAATTTAGAATGCATGACACAAAATTGTTTTTATTAATAGATTTGACTGTTAAAAAATTATTCTAACAACTCAAACAACAATTTCTACCGATAAAATATAATAACAGTTTTACCGCTTTGTTGATTTATGAGTCAAGGAAGTTGTTGAAAATTGCTGCATCTATTTGTCCAAAATCCAAATGATACATACACACACAGAGATATTTATATATATTATGTATATTTTATGTAACAAATGCAAAAAAAATTTATTTATTTTATATTCAGCTCGGAATTAATGCACGGGTCGATGTGCATGAGGTCACAGCAGAGAAATGAAGACACATGACTGATGCCTTACCTACTAAACCACGAGGTGAATCAATGCGTGGTCCCAAAAGTATTTGGTTCGAAACATGCTTAACAAAAACAAGGAAATTAGTTGCAAGTAAACTGGTTTTGGTAGATTAATTGAAACTATATACATTGAACAACGTAATATAATAGCTAATCACTCTTTGTTTATGATCTTAATTTTGTTTTTGAGTTCTCCTTGAAAACCCTCTCTCTCTCTCTCTCTCTCTCTCTCTCTCTCTCTAAGTGGTCCAAGGCAAAGGCAACTTTTACCACATGGGCCTCACCCTCGGGCCCTGTTAATAATTACTAAAAGAAAAGAAAAACAATAGAAATATTTTTTTGGGGATAGAAAAGCTATTACTATAAACAATAAATCTGATACAATAACAGTTTCTACAAGAGGAAGAGATTCCTTTAAGCCAATAAGCTCATCGTTATTGTACATGTCATCTTTTAATAGATCAAAGTGGGAAACACAAAATGAATTAGGCAGTGTAGGACCCCTAATTAATCAAACATAAAAAGGCTTATACAATAAATAATCATACAGCATGAGCATATATATGTCAACAATTCGATTCTTGGCTAGTTACAGAAAGGAGAAAATACATTGTCATGGAAGAATGGCACTCATCATTTATTGGGTTTGAAGAGAAATTAAGAGGGGAGACTATAATTATTTATGTTAAAAGAAAGAAGAAAAACAAAAGCTGAGAAATTAATAAATTAAGGAAAAGAGAATGGTGTTAGAGAAAGCCACAAAGGCAACCGACAAAGATGACGGCTACTACTCATTCAATTATTCTATATTCGAATTAGGTGTGCATAACAAATCTCTGCTGTCTTTTAGTACCCTTGGTATCTTCCTATCCCAAAATTAATTCCCTTTTTTTTTTTCCTTAAACAAAAAAGAAAAAAAGACAAGTGATTGTAACACGTCTCCTACTTCCTTTTCCAAATGAAGTTTGTTTGTTTGTTTGTTTGTTTTGTTGGGTTCGTTAATTGGATGAATAAGGAAAACGTCTTTCACTATCAAAGTGAGAGAGGTGAGAATGTACGAGATACGTTGAACTGATAGATTGTGCTTCTGTTTTTCCTTTCTAGGAGTTTCCTCGGGGCAGGAAATTGAAATAGCCTTTGTAAAGTATATAGACCATAGACATCTAAAGGGTCAAACAATGTTGGTCCAAACACATCCCATGATAAGATCGTTAAACTGATTTAGCTGCAACAATTGAGTGATAATTACTTCCCACTTTGGCTTCACTTTTTAATTGGCATCTCCATCCCTCAAAACACCACCTCATAAAACCCATGTTAGTTTCCCCGTTTGATTCATAGATTAGAACTATGAGATTAAAATTATTTTTAATTTACGTGTATTTTTTATGAGAAAAAATACTACAGTAAATCATGAATCATGATTCAAATCAGAGAATGAATCCTCCAACCAAACGGGCTCAGTCTCTCCATCTAACTTGAAACGTTTTTTTTTCTTTTTTCTTTTTTCCTTAAAAAAATGCCTTTTACTCTAGGAGTATCCAGTACCTGTAGAGTACCTATAGATAGTGCAATTTTTTTAAATGTTAGATCTGATTGACGTAATATTAAACTGATGAAGTATGCAAAATTAATAAATTATGATACAAATACGATAATTCCACCATAAAATTCTCCTAAAAAATAATTCAAAAGCAAAATCTAGTCTACCTTTGCCACAAACTATCCAAGCAGATAAGATGCATTCATATTTGCGACAGATACGAGTAGCAAATAGCATTATCTTGAAATGCAGATGCCTGGCTTTATAAATATTTTTTAGATTTATTTTTCCTGCCTACAATGAATGAATATTTTTTTTAAGATTTATTTTTCCTGCCTATAATGATTGATTATAGACCACGAATCCAACCCATGGTAATGATTATCATCCTCTGTAGAGGACAGGCAATGAAGAAGGGAAAGAAAGGTCCCGGGTATATAATCCAAATTCATAAAGCAAATTGCACCAGAAAAGCTAATAAAAAAAGGGAGGGAAAAAGGTCCCAATACATAAATTTCTCTCAAATAATGCATCGGCACGGCCCAACAACCTAGATGCTTCCCAGTAGCCCTCAAATTTGATATGGTCGTGAAGATAGTACGGATGAAGAAAGCAGATGTTGCCATCACTAATCAGTCTGAGCGGAAAACGTTTCAAGAGAATCCGCATAATATGGGACCCAGGGGTGGGGATTGTTAAAATATGAAATCCGAAGAAGCCAGAGAGGCAAATCTTTTTTTTTTGGGGGGGGGGGGGGGGGGGGGGGGGGGGGTTTAGGAAAGATGAGAAAAACAATCAGTCTCGACACAAATTCATACGACGACAACTAAATTAAAAAGCATCCTAACATAAGCTCCCTTCAAATTAATTCCAACAACTGAGTTTTGTTGCATTGTTCTCCCAAATTGGAACCTTTGAAGCACCTCTTGCATAGAAGGCGACCGGAAATGTATGTGAAGTTTGAAAAATATAGCAGGTATTTCATTGGACGTCTATAATTGCACAGCAAAGTGATTCAGTAAACTATAGCCCCAGAAACGGCCAGAACCGGAAAGAACAGCAGCAGTATGAGCAATGAATAACTAAGAATATGCATCCACCACCTCCCCTCACTTGTAGAATTCAAAGTCGGTGTCGGGTTTCTTCACATTGGTTCGGTAACCCTTCTCAAAATCCTTGGGGAGAATGACGTATCGGTTCTTGCGAACAGCATGCATTCCATAGCTGCGATCTGTATACACGTCCATTCAATTAAAGAAAGTTACCAACAACAACACTAATAATAATTAATTTTGCCATTAACCCTCGTGGGAGTGCCACAAAAGTAAACAAAATAACAACAAAGGACAATTGTAGTCATAAAATTAACAATGAAGTTTGGCTGTAGTTTATATTGAAAAAGAAAATGAGACTTTCTTCTTTTCCCCTTAAAAAAAAATACAGTGAAACCTACACTAAGAATTGCGTCAACTAACCTCAGCAGCACTAATTTTATCAGGCCGAGAAACGTAGTCTTCCAAGTCCACCTCATCACTCAAGTTCATTTTAGCAGTGCAGACCTGTACAATCAACAGACCGGGTTTAAATCCTTCCAACATTTATACATATATATATTAGCAAAAAAAAAAAAAAAAAATCGATGTCACTTGCAGCAGCTTGCCCAAAATCTACGAGTAAAACATTAGGGAAAATAAATGAACAACCAGAGTAAAATTTTTCAATATTAGCAGCTCCTGTTATGCATGTGATGTGGAAGCACCACACGCTATGACTTCAAGTTTGATTTAACTAAATAAAACAAGAAATCTGCCAGAAGGATGAAGAGGAGGGAGTAGAGTGCTCGTTAAATTATAGAAAAAACATAATGGCCGTATTTGGAATTAATGCCGTTTTTGTTTTTCATATTTTTTAAGAAATAAAAAATGAAAACGTTTCCAAAACGGCGTTTGGCACAATAAAGACAAAAAAAAAAAAGAAATGAAAACGATTTTTTAGTTTAGTGTAAAATGAAAGAGAAATGAAAAACGACTGTCATTTTTCATTTTTTGTTTTCGTTTTCTCCTCTCTCGAGGAGAGAGAAAGAGAAAGAAAGCCATTAATGGATTTTTTTACACTGAAAACAATCTCTTAATAAAACTACCAAACGCAATTTCAAAAATGATTTCTATCTGAGATTGAAAACGTTTTCGTTTTCATACAAAAAATAAAATTATTTTGAAACGAGTTCTAAACACGCCCAATGAATGTGAACTTTCAAAGCCATTTTCCAAGATCAGAGGAGATGAAGCAAAGTAAACAACCATAAGAATAGGAACGGTTAACAGATATCTCAACATATCTGAACATCCAATATCCATGGTTCCCAATGTCATTTTTTCTCCTTTTCCAGATGCTTCATTTTCATCTTTATGGAATCATATGTTATATCCCTTCCAGAAGACTCAGAGAGCTGAATTTTGGTTCCAGATAGAATAAGTACTCCTAATATCTTGCAGTACGCGGCCCATACCTCATACCAATATTTATTGTTTAATAAACAGGTGTGGGTGTCTGAGGAGGGATGACAAGACTCAGTAATCAAGTGAAAATTGCAACTAAGACCATCTCCAATGCAAATGCTAATGCTAATTGTATATTTAACATCAACCAGTGTGATATGGTATGTTATTTTCATTTTTGCTCTAATGCATGAAACTATTTGAAATGTTAAATCTACTTTTTCCCATAATCATTGGGCTTTGAAAGTTGTAAGAGTAAACTTTTATTTCTAAAATAATTAGAAAATACATAAAAATGCCAAATTTCTCATATGCTATACTTGGTGGAAATTTGCCACGAAGTATAGCATAGGAGAAATTTGCCACAACAAATAGCATTGCATTGGAGAGTGTTTTTAGACCCAAATGCTAAATTTACAATTGGCACATCAATTATAGCATTACATTGGAGATGCTCTAAGAAGACTGGTCTATCAGGCATTTAAGTGCATAAGTTGAAGGCCGAGGAAGATCAGAGAAAGGAGGATACAAAAAACCAAAACAGTGAACTAATCGTGGATAACTCATCACCTGAAAAACAAGCCTCTTTTGCCTCCTATCAGGCAAAGGAAATTCAATCTTCCGGTCAAGCCGTCCAGGACGTAGAAGTGCAGGGTCCAACGTGTCAGCTCGATTAGTAGCCATTATAACCTTAACATTTACTGTTTGGTCGAACCCATCCATCTGCAAGTAACTTAGGTTGATGAGAGTTCGAAGGCATACATTAAAGGTCAACAAGAAGCTGTTTCAAAACAGATATATTTCCTCCAATTCAAAAATAATACCTTTCCACGCAATAGTACTGGGAAAGTTGAAAGATTTTAGTCACATAAAAAATTACTATGTTTCAAGATCTATATCTATTCTCTAGTTCTACCTGATTGAGAAGCTCCATGAGTATACGCTGAACTTCTCTATCAGCTCCAGTTTGAGCATCAAACCTGGCAGTAGCTATAGCATCCACTTCATCGATGAAAATAATTGCAGGAGCATTCTCCTTGGCAAGACGGAAGACATCACGAACCATGCGTGGACCCTGAACAGAAATAACAAGAGAAATTAGTGTTTCTCACAAGCATTTGCAATTTCAGTTGATCTAATGAGCAAAGAAATGAAGAAATAAGAAAACAAAGTAGAACAGTGTTTGCATCTCAAGCATGCATCTTCTCTCACACAAAAGAAGATACAGAAGCATAAACTGCAATATAAATGCCCAGCAGGACAATATTTGATAAACATGCCCAGGTAACTTGTCATAACTCACAAATGGAATACCAAGAAATTTTTTATTTCAGAAAAAGAAGGGAGAAAAAAAATAATGTAATAGAAGGTAATAAACTAAGGTAACCTCAAAAAGATTAAAAATCAGTTCTAACTTCTAAGAAGTATACAACTTACCTCACCCAAATACTTCTGAACAAACTCTGAACCAACAACTCTGATGAAGGCAGCCGTTGTATGATTAGCAACAGCCTTAGCCAGCATAGTCTTACCAGTGCCTGGAGGACCATAGAGCAAAACACCACGTGGTGGATCTATGCCAATTTGTTTGTATAGTTCATGGTGAGTCAGCGGCAGTTCCACTGCTTCACGGATTTCTTGCTTTTGAATGTCACATCCACCGATATCCTGACTCGGCAAACAAAATAAACATCGATATCATTTACAAAGTGATGTAGACCGAACTATCTATAGACCATGTAACAGCTAATAAAATAATGGTGTACAACAAACAGGGACCTTTAACCATAATGCCATCAATATAGGAGTTAAGTATCGAAACACACTCAAGGTTCCAACATAGGAATTGTTAAAATGTGGAATTTGGGCCAAAAAAAGAAAGACCTTTGTGATATCCCTACCTGGCCACCCCCCAAATCCACTAAAATCGACCAGATTATTTTTGGTCCAACTGTCACAAATATAAAACGCAAAACCCCAGACCAAACTCTTTAAACAGAAGAACAGAAAATGACAACTAGAAAACCCTTACCAAACTAGTTTCAAGACGCACCAAATCTTTAATACTGGAACATGAAAATCAAACTCTCTCAAATCCTAAGCCCTAAAAAATGTCTCTTTTAGTAAAGTAAAAACAGATATAGCAGAAATAATTAATCTTGCACCACTTTAATACTAATACAAGCTAGTACATAATAACTAAAGAGCCAAAAACCCTAATCAAATCCCCATTCCACAAACAATAGGAACAGAATGTCGAATGAGTTCCAATAGAAATAAAATTAAGCACAATTCCCAACTCAAACAGACTAGAATTAGTTGTCTGGATACGAAAAGAATCCCTAATTTCGTTTTTCCGAAACCCTAATCTAATCCCTATTCCACAAACAACAGGAACAAATTTCCCGAAAGAAATTCAATAAAAAGGAGTTGAAGCGTACGTTATAGGTAACATCGGGCTTCTCGGACTGGCTGAGAAGCGAGATACTGGAATCGGCCTCCGGCGGGAGAACATCGACGAGCGCATTGGAGTGGCGGTGGAGAGCGACGGAGGCGGAGGGCTTGAGGAGCTCGCGGTTGATGGTGCTGAGGATCCTGACGTAGTAATTGGAGCCGGTGGTGGAGCCGACGATGCCGTTGTTCTGATCGACCATCTCCATGAACTGGCCGATAACGAGCGGCACCGACTGGATCCTCTTGACCTCCTCCTGGGCGCGGAGAAGCTCGCGCTTGAGGTTCTTCTGCTCGTCCTTGACGTACTCCTCCTGGATGTCGATGAACTCCAGCTGGCGTTGGAGGGACTTGAGGCGGCTGTAGAGATCGTCCTCGTCGGAGAAGGAGGAGGACTGGTCGCCCAAGCCCTGGAGGTCCGATCTCGTCGACGGGAACGACGCCGGAGGCTCCGGCGAGGGTTTCGGGTCCATCACCATAGCCGACGCCATTGTTGTTTGTTCTGGTTTTCGTGAAGGGAAAGAAACGGACTGGGAAGAAAGGGAAGGAGTGAGGCGCAAGAAAATTTTGTGCTGGTGCTACTAGTAGTTTTATACCAGAAGAGAAAAAAGAAATAGATATTTACGGCGAAGCATTATGGTACGACCCCGTTTTAACGCCCCCGCCTATTATGCGTTTATTAATTGGGCTGTTTGCTCATCACGGAGTGGCCCAACGTTTTCGGGCTCGAATTTGGGGAAACCTTATGAAGTAATTACGTAATAAAATAAAGGGAGAATGAGAGAAATAGCTCAAGACTTGAGATAAATTAAAATTAATAGGTTAATAGTTTACATAAGTTAATAAATATGTCAAATTATTGTTTTCGTTCATAACTTGACAAGTTATTGATGGTTTTTGTCCGTAACTTGTCTGGCTATGAACCATAACTTGATAAGTTTATCCATAACTTATCTGGTTATGAACCATAACTTGACAAGTTATTACCTATTAATTTTTATAACTAAAAATTGGCTTATATACTTTCTTAAGCTTTTCATATTGGCCTATTTCCTACTATTTCCCAAAAATAAAATAAAGAAAAAATTACTGAATTTATTGATGGGTCTTGATTTTTATCTTTTATTTTTTATTAATATTATTTTAATTAATATAATTATTTAATTAAAAAAGATTAATTAAAATTAAAGAATAAAAATCTGTAGTCATGCACAAAAATATTTGTCTCTTTCCTTTTACATAAAATGTCTATTATGAGCCTTCAAAAAAAAAAATCTAGAGCCTTAAATCTATAAATGTCTGCTATTATACAATATTATAAAATTATCTACTTATATTTAATAAAGTATAAAAAAAAGTCTATTATGAGAGTTTTAAATCTAAAAATATCTACTGTTATATAATATTATAAAATTATCTGCTTATGTTTAATAAGGTATATTTTATACCGAGTATGCTTTTATTATTTATTTTGGACACATTCCCTATATATGTAGTGATTTTTTGTTTTTATGTGCTGATTTTTTCTGATAGTATATTACATGTTGACTTTCTCTTTTTTTACTGGGTTGACTCCCTTTCAATCCTAATTAATATTTTGTAATTAATTATTTAATTTAACATTGATATGGTATCTCTTAAATTAGCATTTTACCTCTCCCCTTTTCTTTTGTTTTGTTTTGTTTTTCTTTTTTTTTTTCGAAATTAGACGTGAGGTGTTGTTTTCTTTTTTTTTTTTTTCCCTGTTTTCAAACTGTCACGCATGTATATCAACACTTTTTATTACTTTTTTCACAAGTTTTTAGATTACAGATTTTCTATTAATTTTTCTTTTTTTCTTTCTTTAGAAAATACACCGTGGTGTTTTTCTCTTCTTGATTGTCAATATTTTTTAATCTATTTAAACGCCTAAAGTTCACTTTGGTCTTTGGAGCATTTCACTTTTTTCTCAGAAAGAATAACACAAAATCGCTAGATACCAACAAATGGACCACGTCTAGAAGGTGTATCTTTACACCTTTTCAATTTTTAATATCACTAGTTAAAACACGCATTACGCTCATAATTGTCAGTATGTTATATTTTTTTTAGACACATACATGTAGAAAAAAATATATTAACAATAAAGAAAAAATATTTAGGTAAATACATATTTAAAATTATTTAAATGAGAACATATTATGGGGTAAAATTTAATAAGGCACCATTAGAAAATACAAAATTTAAAATGAACAAAAAATAAAAGGATCAAAATGCACGTTTTAAATTAGGCAAATGTGTTTCAATAAGTCGTGGTTATAAATATAAGATTTTTTTTATAAAGAGATAGATGAAACATAATGTATGTTTCATCTTATATTTCGTCAATCCCAATTCAAAAACTCATTCACACTTAGTGAATGAAATTAAAAAAAAAAAAAAAAATTTACTGCTAAAGGCAATAGGTAGGCAACAGTGGGTGGAAAAAAAAAAAGCAATATGTATGGAAAAAAGAGAGAAGAAAAATATAAAAAATGTCTAAAAATGAAAAAATAAAAAGAAAAATAGAGAGAATCAAAAAAATAAATAATAAAAAATGAAAGTGGAGGCCAACACGTGGCCTCTATAGAGGTCAACACGTGACCTCTATAGAGGTCAAGACGTGACCTCCTTAAAAGTCAACCCCTTGACTCTTTTAAATGTGTATAGATTCATCGATCTAAGCCAACTCCTTGACTCTTTTAAATGTGTATAGATTCATCGATCTATGAATATATTGCAATATTTAATTGAAATTGGGTGTAATATGTCAACTTAAAATTGGAAGGACTAAAATGTTAATATTGTGAAAAGTCAAGTGCAAATGAGCCAATTTAATTTGGTTGAACGCACATAGCAATTATAAATTAGGCAAACGGTAATCTAAGTACTGGATTACAAGTCAATTATCGTGAAACACATTGGTAAAAGGGTTATTTTAGTTCGAGCTGAAGTGAGAGAAGACAGAAGTATCATGCAATTTGTTAATAGACACATCAGTTACATGCATGAAGCCAATCAACACAACAAGTACTACACAACTAAAATAATTTACACAAAATATGTGATGTCCAACCCTCTCTTTAATTAATTATTCAACTAAATTATCAACCAAAACCAACCAACCCCAAACGAGAGAAAATGCAATATCCAAATAAAACACTTAAAAAAAGGCACACAGAAACACCAATTACGTATCAACTTATTAGATCATCCCCTACATTAATCAATAAACAAAGAATTATCATGAAGATGATGAATTAAGAAATGGAGAACCTCCTTCTTCTAGGCTTGGAGATATCTACAACATCTTCAATGTGGGAAGTGTCCTTTGAACCGTGCTTGAATGGATTCAACTTGCCGAGAGTCTTGGACACGGAGGAGAAGAAGGTGGGTCTTTTGGTGGACCCTACTGCTCTGGAAGAGGTCGCCGTGGTTTGACCATTCTTTTGGATGTCCGTGATGTAGAGCTTCATCTTCGTGAGCTCGGCGCGCAAGGCCTCGTTCTCCCTCACGAGAGAGACGTCGGCCTGCAGCTGGCTCCTCGCGGTGGCGGCCTCTTTGGCGTCGTGGTCGTCGGCCACGCCACTCCGCAGCTTCAGCTGGTCGTAGTAGAGGGCGTGGAGGACGATCTGCACCGGCAGCCGCTTGTTCTGCGACGCGTGGACCCGCGCCTCGTAGGAGAGCTTCAGCGGGTCCATCACGCTGCACACCTTCTCTCGCTCTATCTCATCCAGGTTCGGATGAGCCTGCACATCATAGAAAGCCATATACAGTCAATATTACCAATTATTAGACATTAACATTTAAAAAATAATAATAATATATATATATATATATATTTGCCTTAATTTGACTTCTTGTAATAGTTTCCTTGTTTTTATCAGGTGTCTGTTAAAGTTACTTTATAGTTATACTGTTTAGTCCTATAACAGAAGTGATCTTGAATATGTTCAGCTAGTAATAGTATAATGCTATTTGATAAAACAGTTGTAACTATCGTGATTTTATTTAGATAATATTCACAGAATTCTCTTTAATTTCTTGGTTTCTAATTATACGATTATCGACTTTTTCTAGTAAAGATTAAAAAAATAAAAATTGAAAGATTTTAGCTATCATCTGTGCAACTTTTGGACCTGTACAAATTATTATTATTATATAGAACCACATAACTTATGACAATTAATTACTAGCACCTATTATAATATGTAGACCATAAAACTCGTGTAAGTTCTCCCTTCTGTAATAGCCTGAAATCTCGCAGTATTAATGATAACCCAGGTGATTAAGAAATTACCTTTCTGTACTAGCACCTATTATCATATGTAAATCATTAATTGTAATACACATAGCTTTGCAGAAGGATTAAGAAATTAACCCAGGTGATAACATATATATATTAATTAATAAATAAATTTTCATGCTTAATTACCTTCAAGTAGATATCAATGGCACGGTATAGATCATCATCAACCTTACGCGCTCCTTTAGGCACGAGGTTAGCGATGCCGTTGAACTTGGAAATGGTGAGCTCTAGGTAGGCTGCGATCTCGCCGAGGTAGGCGTCGATGGTCTTCGCCACCCGGTTCATCGCCGTGGAACACGTCTCCTTAAAATTTCCGGCGTTAAAGATCCCCACGCTCTTCTCCTTCTCGACGAAAGCCGAAATGATCTTCCTAACGCTGTCCAGATCGAACAGCCTCTCGCCGTCGTACGTGAACGACAGGACCAGCAGATCGTCGACGGTCACGTGCTCCAGTATGACGGCGATCCGCTTCTCCAGCTCGCTCTTGCAGGTGTTCGAAGTCTTGAGGAAGATCGCCGACCGGAGCAGGCAGCAGAGGAAGTTGATGGGGAAAGCGGCTTTCTCAGACGGCAGGAGAGCCACGATCGATTGCAGAAGCTCCCTCTGTCGAACTCTAACGTCGGAATCCTCGAGATCCGAGGATTTGGTGCCGTTGCCGGAGTGGTCCCGGACCAGATCCCGCAGCGCTCTCTCCGTGTAAGTTATCAGAGCGCTCGCGATTGTCAGCACTTTCGCGCCTCGCTGCTTCATCGCCGTCATCACTTTCGCGAAGAATTCGATGTCTAGAATTGACAGCTCCTCCGTCCACCAGTTCGTTGGTGATCGGCTCGGAAAGTTCGCTTCATTGCATGCCTAAAATTAAATCATGTCAGATCATATCAGAATCTATCAAAATTATGCAATTAGTACTTGACAGTGCCTTAATCATATATACTGATCGTTAGCACATTTGATGAAACTGAGGTGACATGCTCATTCTCGAAGGATAGAGCCCATCGTTAAAGCTTTCGGCTAACCTTTTTAGAGGACTATAAATGCTACGTTTTTAGCCAAAAGAAAAGGTAAATTTAATGTACGTTTCAAGTTTTGAACCTTGGAAATGGCGACGTCCACGCAACGCTGGACAATTTTGAGCTCTTCTGCCATGGGAAGGAGGTCTTCGCAGGATTTGAGGACGACGATTGCGCCGGAGAGGCTGGTCAAGGCGACTTGCGTAAGGAAGTCTTCGGTGCGGCCGGCGAGGTTGTTGGGGCAGTACTTCTCGATCATCTGCAGGAACTCGGCGGCGCAGCGTAGAGCAGCCACGTTGTGCACCGTGATCTCGAAGTTTACGCCGTAACAGAATTTCGCCGCCTTCTCGAAGATCTCGGGGCCACCCGGGATGTTTGAGAGATTGATCCTCGTCAAGTCCGGTTCGTTCGATTCCACTATCAGTTTCCTTATGTAGTTGCTCTTAGCCACTAGCATAAACTGCCATGTACAAAAATCACAAGTACAATTTGTTGTTATTTTCTTGGAAGAGAGAAAAAATATTGTTGAGAAACTATTTGATCTTAATTTCCATACCTTGTGCAGAGAGAAATTTGCTTCACCAACTTCGACCACCACGTCGGTGGGAATATCCTGGGAGAAAACCCTTTAAGAAAGCACAAACATATAGAATTTTAGTAAAATAATTACTGAAATCAAAACTGGAATTTGGGTGAGTAAGATGGAGAGAGAAGATTATGTTTGGAGAAGAGAGTGAATACCATTGGCCGGTTCTTTCCATGGCGAGAGAAAGCCTGCTGTTGCCCTTGACGGAAGCAGCCATAGTTGGTGAAGGCAGAGTGAAAAGGAGGAAAAAAGTGCAAGTTAAGATAAGAGTAGGATCTGTTTCTGTGTTATATAAAGATTTTTATTTCATCTTCATAAACTACATTTGCTAATTGTAGCTTTTTCTCTTTTTTTTTAATCATGATCGCCTTTTGCTTTTTTAGATAGTTTATACAATGTTCAAATTTGTGCCATGCGTGGACCATTTGACCCAACTCCACTTCCCGACAAATGGGAGCTGATAAGCTTTTGTATGCATATCGGCTTCATCTGACTTCATGGCTTATCCACGACCTTCTCCTTCTTGGCTTCCTCAAAATCATGACAAATTGTCAATTTTTTTTTTAATTTCGAGGATGTTTAGTAGAGAGATTCGTTTCCTAATTTGAATTATGATTCGTAGTTCGTTATAATATTTTTTCTCATAAAAAATTCACGTAAATTAAAAATTGTTCAAATCACATGGTTTGAATCCTCCAACCAAACGTGACATTCCTCTTCTGATATGGCAACTTTACTTTACTCCTATGGCAACTATACTTTACTCCCTTGTTTTCTTTTTCTACGAGTAAGTCCACTAAGATTAGGTCTCCTACTTGGAAATGGAGCAATAATCTTTGTTATAAGTCAATTACTATCATTCCAATATCCACGTGAGATCCACGCGAGTGTTACTATCAAGTCCGCGTTGATTAATGGCCAATTTAATATTGATGTGCTCTTAAAATTTTATATTGTTGCTGTGCTGTTAGCCAAAAATTACTATAACCATGAACGTGTAGGTGTTTGTTAAATTTTTTTTTTTCAAAGTTGTGAATACCATAAGCAGAAATTTAACTGTTTAGTAAACTAAGTACAAAATTATTGTGAAAATGTATAATGACTAAAATAGACATACTTTAACACACATACTTATAATTAGTTTTATTTCTATTTTTATAGTTAATATTCATAATATTTATACACTAAATACTAAAAAAATTTAATTTTCATTTTATTAATTAACAACAACAATAACAAGCCTTAATCCAACTTAATTGGGGTCGGCTATATGGATTTCACTTTTTCACACGACTCTGTTCGAAATTATACTTTCCTGAAGGCCGAGCTCTAAAATGTCTTTCCTAACGACTTCGGTCCACGTAATTCTTAGTCTACCCCTCCCTCTCCTAGTATTAGGTATAAGAATATCCTCCCAAGCACGAACTGGTGCTTTTAGCGGTCTACGTTGGACATACTCGAACCACCTCAAGCGGCATTCGCGCACCTTATTTTCTATTGGTGCTACACCTACTTTACTATGAATAACTTCATTCCTTATGCGGTCCATTCTTGTATGGCCACTCATCCATCTTAACATACGCATTTCTGCCACACTCATCTTAGATATATGTTGTCTCTTAATGGCCCAACATTCACTACCATATTGTTGGTAACCGAATCAAATTCGGATGCAGAAGTGTGGTGGAGGGCGGATTAAGTATAACAAAAATTTTCACAAAACTTTTGAGATACTCTATAGATTATATTAATTTATGCACGAATAAATTAATCATATTAATTTTTATATCAAGACCTCAATTAGAAAAAATACCTAGAGGCTGACTCGGATGATAACTTGAATTCTTTGACCACGAACGATCCTTGCTCCAAAGCCTTGTGTTTAGAAAACCAAAGTCTTTCACGTCAATTCCTTGAATCTACATAGACGTGTGTGTGGGCACACTCGAGACAAAATCGGGTTGGAACAAACACTCAAATTTTCCACAAACACCAACGCATGCATGATGTGGAATTTTTGGGAGAAAAATTTTTCCTTCTCTCTCTCTTGGGAATTTCGGCCAGCCCCCAAAAAAGTTAGGTCAAAAAATTGTCACGCGTAATTTTTTATCATATCTTATTTATAGAGTAGAAGTCAAACTTCTAGAAGGAATCAAATCTCTATCTCCTATTTTAATTTCGAATAAAAATTCTCCTCTCTCTTATCTCCTTATGGCCGGCCAACCCTAGGGTTTTCTATCCCTGTGTGTGGCACCAATTGCAGATAGGGACGGAAGAGAAAATCATCATTTATCCTGTAGTCCAATTTTAATTCAAATTCAAATTCGAATTTAAGTCAAACTTAAATTAATTTGAATTCTAAATTGAACAACTTATCAAATAAGTTTAAAAGGATAAATTTAAAATATGTTCATGATTCAAATTCAAATTTAAATAATCACATTATTTAAATAATAATTAATTATTTTTGAGTATTTAATTTTTAGAATTCCATAATTCTAAAATTCCCATTTTTCCCTTTGTGTCTGGTAGAATTACAAGGACGACGCAGGGACTAATGGACCTATAATCCCGAGCTCTAATAAAATTAATAATTAATTAAATACTTTAATTAATTAATTAATTCTATTAATTCCAATAGTTACTCCACTATAAACTTGGAATTGAGAGCGTTCTTACTAATCCAAGTACCGAATCAACACTCAAGAGAATTATGTATCTACTTCTTTCTCAAGAAGGAATGGATTCCATCTCGTATAATAACATTCCCAGCTACCTATTTCATCATGTCTTTAAAATACAAGGAATAGGATTCAAGGTCTCAGAATCCGTACCGAGTAAATCAAAAGACACAAATCCATAAATAGGAGTTTGTTAAGAACTCAGGATTAAGATCATTTTATATATGACCATCAGTAAACTCAATTAGAATTTCTATGCTTAACAGAAATTATTAGAAATTCATATTGTGTCTGTGTCCCTGTTCCACACAATCTCATTATGCGAAATACACTCATTCAATATCTCACCATATTAACAGTGTGGATAGCACCGTTCCATTCTAAATGGGAATGACATGTATTAATAATTTTTTAATTAAAGATTATGAACTTTAATTAAATTTATTATGAACAACGTTTTTTATTATTATCATTAAACATTATCCTCTCATATACAACACTTATATACAATGTTTAAGGTTACATAAATAATCAAGAATTTTCATTTGATATTCATTAAATATTCATAAATATATGCACATAAAATGATGAATAAACTCTTTTATTAATTAAATAATAAATATCTTATTACATCTCATGCTTCTAGGACACCATTCCCAACACATATAACATAGCTTGGCGGATTACAGTCCTATAAAACTCTTCCTTCAACTTAATAGGCATTTTATTAATTAAGATGTCTCTAAAAAATAAATTAGTTTTATTCAAGGAGATAAATTATTTATTTATAAAGAAATTAAATAACGTAAAGAAACTAAAGGTAAATTATTTTTTAAACTTGTTATATTATAATAAAAATATATTATGACAATTTAGCATAAGATATTTATTAAAGAGTTTTAATTTTCAGAGCTCCCTAACGACATTGGTCAAACATGGATCACACTAACAACATGACACATTTCAGACCCTTAAGAGTTGTCCTGTCAATCGATATTTGTCGCTGCTTCTCTAGTCACGTTGTCGATCTATACTCTCACCCTCGACGATTAGAGTGATCCCTAACGGCCTTGGTCAAATCTGAATCAAGGTTTTAACCCTTTAACCTCAATCTCGATCAGTGATCAATTTGGGATGTGTGACACATTGTTGGTATCTCGATGCAAAATCTCCCAACACTAATTTTGATAAGAAACAAAATCATAATATTTAATTGATTCTTAAAAAAATTGCACAATCAACAAACATTGTACAAAAATATTTAGAGGTATCACCAGTACTAAGCAACTCTAATAAATAATGGATCCTATATATTGTCCATACTACGAGATCCATCAAATGGTCGGTGTTAAACACCACCCGTGTCATGTAGCATTTCTCTTCACCACATCAACTTAAAAATTGTTACTATTGGGATACAATTGATCAATTTAGGCCAGGTTTGTCTCACTAGTTTAGTTCAGTTCAACTCAGTTTGAACAGTGAGTACAGTTTGAACTGGCGTTTGGTAAGCATGCAGGTTTGGACTTTAGATTATATTCCTTGTTTGAACTGAGTTAAACGGCTCAACTTAGAGTTTAACTCCTCCTTCAAGTTCAATCGTTCAAACTATTTTTAAACAGTAAAAAGTGTCCACTCTCTTTACTTTTCACACCTACTAAACATAAATTCAAATTTTATTCCCTATTTAAATTAAAAATTTAACTACACATTTAAATGTCAATTTAAATTACATAATTTAAATTTTTCTGTTTAAATTAAAAAATTTAAACCAATAAAATTCATACTAAAAAAGTAAACGGGGGTTTGACTCAACTCAAATAAGCTTCGGCTTCAGCCGCGTAGCCAAAAACAGAAAAAATAATTGAAAGCTCAAAGGATAAAAATGAGAATTCATATGAATACCCTTTCCAACAGCTAGCCAGCTTTGCTAGGTGTTAATCACGTTACTGATTGCGTTGGTGATGGGACTTGAAGAGTCAAGGGAAGAATAATCAAGTCCCCAAAGCCCGTCTCAGCCACTCAAACAAGTGGCCAGTACTCCTCCAGCGACGGGGACCGATATATCTTGGTCTGCTTTTCGCCACGTCATCCGCGCCCAAAGGTTCATACAATCCAGCAGCCGCTGACATGTCGGGAAAGGATAACGGAGTGGGTGTGGCCGTGTGGGCCCCGCAAGAATTACTCCCGACCTCTACCTCCAATGGTGTGCCCACACGTGGCACGTCCTTTCACATCGTCCAATCCGTTTGAAGAAACAGATACACAACGAAATAAATTAATAAAGTTTCTTCTTGTTCCCTCTATGACCGTACAATCGAGGGCCTTGATTCATACATCTCAAATTAAGGGATAATGTGCCAACTATCAAAATTAAAGTACATAACATATTTTTTAAATGTTAGTAAATAATAGCATGTTTTAAATTTCTGATTCTAAAAATAAATGCTCTGTTATATAGAAAAATGTACGCTAACACGTGAGATGGTGATAGCGCTCCACGTGGCTCTATGTTTGTCACAACAGATAACAGTCGACGTCTGGGCCTTATTTTCTTTCTGAATGATTGGAAAGGCCAATCGTACGGGCGAATCCTCATACCACTGACCACTCAAGACCATCAGGGCCTGTATGACTTGTGCATTGGAAGCTTCACAAGTCAGTCAACCGGAGAA